TAAAGTTTGTCGATACAATTTAATTGTTTCAGATTGGAGGCCATAACTTCAACAATTTGTAACCTAGGAGAAAAGTTATTGTAAGCTTTTTTGTTTAAAATTTGATGCTTTAACAGAAAAAAATATAATATACAGGGGTTTCCATTTAAAAAAATAACGACTCTCAATTGTTTTTTTTTATTTCTCATTTTTACCAGCGTTAAAAATGCTACTAGTTTGCTAATTCAAACAACTTTGTATTTTCACTAATAACAAAGTTACTAATGGTGGACACTTAATTTGGATAACCCTGTATATGTGCTACGGAGTTTGTCTTCTTGTGTTTCTGTAGAAATATTGAGAATGGCTTACTTTGCCATTTGCCATTCACATATATCCTACGCCATTCTGGCTTGGGGGCATTCTTTAGGGGTCCATGGACTGTTCGCCTTGCAAAGAAGAGCAGTTAGGGTTGTCAGCCGTCTGGGCTACAGGTACGATTGCAGAGATACCTTTGTCAAGTTGGGAATCCTTACTGTGCCTTGTTTATATATTTTTGAAAATCTACTATTCGTTAAAAGAAACTCTAACTATGTAACTCATGGGGACGTCCATGAGCACAATACTAGGCATAAGAACAATCTAGTACCTCCTTATTGGCGACTGAGAAGGTGTCAAGATGGACCTGGTTATTGGGCGGTCAAATTTTTTAATGTACTTCCAGACGGCTTAAAATCGCTTCCGTTTAAAGATTTTAAAGTTCAAATCAAGAAAATTCTTATTAACAACTCATTTTACACGTTTGAAGAGTTTTTAAGACATAAATTTTAACTATAAATCTTAATATGTTATGTTAGCGTTATATCTTTATGAGTGCTGGGGCCTCGGTTGGCCGTTTGGGACCTCGGTTGGCCGCGTGGGTCAGAGTGTCGTGCTACTGATCAGCCGGCCGGCCGGGCCGCGAGTTCGAATGTCGCCTTCGCCATGGATGTTGTGTGTTTGTTTTAGGCAGCAGCGGTGGCCGCAGTAGTAGACTCTTCGGTCTCCCGATCAGTCGCCGTGCGCTGTGCGTGTTCGAGTCCCGTCCCAGGAGAAATTTTTCTCTTGGCTATGGATGTTGTGATTGTCCGTAGCTGGTAGATGGTCTCTGACTGTCGAACGCTGAGGTACCACCCGGCGGTTCTCGTAGGCGGAGCCAGAATGTGTGCATGTTGCATGCACACGTGTTCCCTCGCCAGAGTCCGTGTGGCGTCCCCCCTTTCCCATGTATCCCCCTATAGCCCCACGGTACCCAATGGGTGCTTAGGCCTTAGGCCTTCGTGGTAGTTGGAGTATAAAAAAAAAGTGCTGGTGTACTTGTTTGTAATTTTTTATGATCATTAGCACTCCCTTTGTTTTAATTCTAATGCAATTCTCATTTGATCTACTGACGTATGTAAACATATTTTATGTATTGTGACATGAATAAAGAATTGAATTGAATTGAACCAGGAACTCATATCCATACATATTGCTGCTGGAAAAAATAGAGGCAATAAAAAAGTTATGATTGCTTTTGGTTTCCAATGACTTTATGGTGAAAATTTTGTGCAAACGTGCTCTAAACATGCCTAAATAGGATTTCGAGTGCTTGATTTGCACAGCTGCTACCTATCCTCCAAAGGCCGTACTCTGACTAAATAATATGAATGTCAACCATGTACAAACTTTCTGAGCAAGGATACAGCTCATATCATACTGTACTGTTTTTATTCTATCTTAGACTTTATTGATCTGTTTTGTTTGTAGCTTGCTTTTTTCATTTGTATGATCAGTCACAAAAATGGTGAATGTGTCATGACCTTCTTACGATGTACACTCCCGCCAAAATAAAAAACAATGGGTCATACCAATACAGTCAAACCCCATTTGGACGGATACCAACGAGACCGACTGAAAGTGCCTATTCCAGAGGGGTGTTCGTATAAAAAAATACAACAAAAATTGTGTTTTTTATGAAAGCTGAATATGTTATAGATATATACAAAGTATATGTAGTTACATGGAATAGTGAAATAAAAAATCACTTTTAGGACACAAAAATTAATGTATTGTCGTTTGTCTCCTCTTTTTCTTTAAAATGGCGTCTTCAAATCGTATTTCTAATTTAGAAAGATGCTTCAAAGGCTCTGTATCTCCCTGATTTTCGACAAAACTTTCGAGCTGCTTGGTCAATGTAATAGGTTTACCATAATTTAACTCCATAACTCCATAAGTCTACCTCCACATCTTCAGGATCTCGATTCATTAAATAGTGCTTTTTTAAACGTACCTCAAACAACCAAATCATTAACTCAATTGAACCTTTTAGACAAATATGAAAACGTCAAGAATAGTGGTACTTTTCTGTTCACGACAGTTTCCCCTGCCACTGTAGAGAAATTTATCAATCGCATCAAAAGTCATGCTAAAGGCTCAGATGGCATCACAATTGATATGATCCGTATAATACATAAGCATTTGCTCAAGTATATTACCTTCATTATTAACTTTTGTATAACAAATAATCTTTATCCCTCTTCCTGGAAGAATGCTCTTGTTCTCCCTCAGCCTAAATCTAATTATCCTTCAAGTTTTTCTGATCTTCGTCCTATAAGCATTTTACCAAGTTTATCTAAGCTTTTGGAAATGGCTCTACATGAGCAGCTGCACACATTTGTTTGTCAAAATAATTTACTGACCACCTCCCAATCTGGCTTCAGACCATTACATAGCACCACCACTGCGCTCCTGTCTATATCGGATAATATTTATAGCGCGGCTGATCAAGGAAAGCTGTCCTGCTTAGTTCTTCTTGATTTTAGCAAGGCCTTCGATACGGTTGACCCAAATATTCTCTGTAAAAAGCTTAGATACTTTGGCCTGTCATCATCGGCTTGCACGCTGATTAAGAGCTTTTTAACTGATCGCTCACAGTCTGTCATATATGAAAACAGTATATCAACTTCTTTATTCAGAAATTTTGGTGTCCCTCAAGGATCTATTTTGAGTCCCCTTTTATTTGCTCTTTATATATGTGATTTTCATGAAACCGCCAGCAACTCAATCGTTCATCATTACGCCGATGATACCCAACTTTATAACTGCTTCGATCCTGATGAATATATGCTTGGCCAACATCAAATAAATCAAGACCTGCAGTCTATTTTTGACATATCTAGTGCTCACAATCTAAAACTAAATCCTGGCAAATCATGCTACATTTTATTTGGGCCCAAAAAGAATCGTGAAATAAATCAATATCGCATTAATATTATGGTGAATAATGAAGACATATCCTTCGTAAACGAATGCAAAAACCTTGGTATCTGGTTTGACTGCAAGCTACGCTTCACTAAACATGTTAACCAACTATGCAATGCGTCCTATAATGTGCTTCGTCAGTTATACCCGAGTCGAAGTGTCCTGTCGACACAGCTCAAGCTTAAACTCTGCGAGTCCCTTATCCTGTCAAAATTATCTTACGGTGACTCTGTTTATGGACCTGCTCTTTTACAACGTGATGCCGAGCGGATTCAGATGATACAAAACTCATGCATCAGATTTTCTTATGGAATCCGTAAATTTGATCATGTTAGTAGCGCTTTTGACCAATCGGGATGGTTTAAGATGAACAAATTGAGGAGACTGCATTGCCTATCTCTGGTACATAAGACCCTTATCCTTAAAGCACAATATTATCTTTATACAAAACTAAGCCTCCTCTGCCAGTACGATCAAAGATCCTCTAGGAATAAACTCATCTTACTTATCCCGCGGCATTCGACAGCATTGTTCATACGCAGTCTCTCGTACTGGGCACCCAAACTATATAACTGCTTATCAAGTGAGTATAAAGAATATAGCCTAAGCAACTTTAAAAAAAGGTTAAAGATGAGTTTAAAGCAGTCGGATGGCTAAAATTTTACTTTATGCATATCCACAGGTAATTGATTGTTTCCTTTCTCTGATAAGTGTTATATTCTAAGTTTTTTTTTCTCTCTCTCTATAGTTTGTGTCAATGTTTTCCAGGTCGGGTTGAAAAACAGCATAAGCTGACACTCCACCTTTTCGTCACTGTTCCTTTTAAACCAATTATTTTGTAATCGTGTGACGAATAAAGGCCATTTATTATTATTATTATTATTATTATAATTTGGTACTGGAACCTAATCGACATCAGAATCTTCGGATTTCAACTGGATTTTCAATTTCTTGGCCTGAATCTGGATTTTCATAATACAAACTTTGATCTAGGTTCAAGAAATCATAAAGGTTTTCATTATCAGACAATTTCAGTAAATTCTTATTTTTGATGATATCTGAAACCATATTAAGTAGCAAGTCATCTTCCGGGTCAGGTGTATCAGCCTCATTTAACTTCACTTTGTCTATTTTCATGCTTAAATCCTGCTTTGCGGAGTAGCAATTTTGCACTGTTTCTTTGGTTACTTAGCCCCAAGGGGTTTTTGCCAAATAAACTGTCAAAAAGCCTCTTTTTTCATTCAAAGTGTTGTTCGACATCCATTTCTTTAGAAGAATTTCGTTATGTTTGATTGCATTTTTTGCTTTTCCAATATTAAAACGTTTGGATAAGTCCTTACAATAAACTTCTCATTGTGAACTTGAACAATCTCAATTTTTTGTTTAAGCATTGCAGAATTTTTCTATTTGGAGTTATTTCTACAATTATTGTCTCGCCCACTGTATCTTTTCCGCATAGACGTCAGACTAATTCAAAATGCAAATTTAATTGAAAGCGTGTACCCTGAGAATAAGAACGCGAAGTTCCCTACCAACCCGGGGGAGTCCCTAATTGTTTATTGTCTGTATGATACGGTTAGCGCCCTAGAAACTAATCTTAGGTAAGCATGCAGGAAACTTGACATTACAGTTTCTATTTTGGCTTTGTTTGCATGTTAATATACTCGCAAGCCATTCCAACGAAAATCGTGTACTCTTCCTGTACTTTCAAGTGTATTAAATAATTGCTTTCTTTACAGCTAATATGCAAAGTCCATCGTTCTACCAACTAACGCAAGATATCGAGTTACCAGCAGATCAGTACCAGTTTCCTACAATGGCAGTGCATCCCCAGACACCTCAACAACAAATCATATTTAGAGAATTCTCAGCGGAACAGATAAGCCGCTTGAAGTAAGTAAGTTACACGAACGTACTAACGTAGAAAATATTTTCTTTAAATTAGATAAGAAATATAATCCAATGACGTTTTCAATCATTTTGAGTCGCTCTTCTGGATATCGGTATGAAAATTGGACTTGAATAAATATTATGCAGTTGAGGTTCGTTATGAAGCTCAAGGTTTGTAATCTAGAATATGAGTTGTATGTATTTTAGTTAAAATTAATACTACAATGTCTTAGAGTGCCCCATAATTAATTTAGCATATACGCTGATAAGTGACAGCTGAGACCTTAATAAAGCACTTGAACCTACCGTTTCACAGGTTGTTATTCTTTTAATGATTTCGTGCAATAATTTCAAATAACACATATACTATAAGATTTAGGGCCAATTTCACCAACATTAATATTATGGACCAATGGAAAAATACCTCGAAATGCAATTTGACAGAAGCTGTCAAAGGTCTCTAAATATTATTGATTTCTATTGAAATATTGAATAAAATCGTGAAAATTCGACTGTATTATAAATAAGCCCACTTTTTGATTCCAACATGATGCTTTTGTACAGAAAAAACAGGACAACTTTCATGTGTTTTGATATATGTTATATGTTTACGTTTAACAATCCGTTATCCCTCTCAGCGAATGGGAATGCGACAAATAATAGGTCGATTTTCTAGCTGTTAAATTTGGCAGCAGATTGGACGTTTGTTAATGCATGACACTCTCGAATTTACCAACTTCAATATACTGAAAGTTATCATTACATACCTGTTGAATAGTGTGGATTTGTCTGTATTTTGCAAGAAAATAGAATATAAAATACATTCTATCCAATTCCTCATCTTCTTTTACGTCATAATACTAATCATTTATTACTACTATTCGTCATTGTCTGTCAGAGCGGTCCGTAGGACCTTTGCTCTTGGTTGAGTCTTGTAAGTCAGTAGGTCTGTCAGGTCTGGTTGCTCAGATACCAAGCAAAGTCAGGGAGAAAGAAGGGAAGAAGAAAGGAAGGAAAGAAGGAGGGCGAGCAAAGAAAAAAGAAGTGTATCAATTTGAGGGGTGCCTTGGCATTGCTAGTTAGTATTCGGCAATTTTAAATTGATCCTAAAATTAGTTTTGGGATTGGTTGTTGAAGAAAAATTGTAATTTTGGTTGGACCTAAAATCGCATGATTTAATTTTGTTCACAGTGCGAGTCGCGGCCTTGTGTGCTTGCGAACTTGCTCGAATGTTTAGTCTACTGACTCGCGCAACAAAGGGTTGTTATGCGATTCTGCTTGACTGTAACGTAGCTGCGCTTGTTGTTTGATGTAGTCCCTTAGGTAAGGGATGTCAAGGTCTCTGTGAAGGGTCTCGTTGGAAACATACCATGGGGCGTTAGTGATTGTACGCAAGGTTCTGTTCTGCAAAACCTGCAGGCTACGCAAATGCGTTTTGGAGAGAAAACACCAAGCCGCACTTGCGTAAGTGATCGCTGGTCTAATAACCATCTTGTATAGCCGAACTTTGTTGATCAAACTTAATTTTGATGTTCTACATAGCATAGGGTAGAGTTGCCGAAACGAGATTTGGAATTTAGTTTTTAACGCTTCAGTGTGTTTCTGCCAGGTTATCCCCTTGTCAAGAGTAATACCGAGATACTTAGCAGAGCTTCCCCATGGTACCCGAGCTCCATTCACTGAAACCTTAGACGGGGCGCCGCTACGTTTTTTAGTACAATAGATTGCCTGCATTTTCTAATGATTAATTTTGATCAGCCACCGATTCGCCCATTCCAATACCTCGTCCACTGCACTTTGCAGCATGTCGTGAACTAGATCCCCAGAGCACGACTGGGCCACCAGGGCAGTGTCCTCAGCATAGAGATATGTTTCACAGCTGCTGGTGCAAGGGACGTCATGAATAAAAATTGAATAAAGGACTGGTCCAAGAACCGAACCCTGAGGGATACCGGCTTTGATGGGCCGTGTTGTCGACAGAACGTTATTAATTTTGATCCGAAATTTCCTACCCTCGAGCAAGGATTTTAAAAGTTTTAGGAGCCAGAAGGGGAAGCCCTTATGGATCAATTTGTAGAGAAGGCTCTTGTGCCACACCTTGTCAAATGTCAAATGCCTTTGAGACATCCAGTAGCAAGATGCCAGTACTTTCGTTACGGGTGAACGCCCTGGTTACTCGTTTAACAAGCCTTATGGCCTGTAGCTCCGTACTATGCTCAGACCGAAAGCCAAATTGCACGTCAGGAATCACATTTTGGTCTGCCGAGAAATTTTCAAGGTGACGTAGAATCACCTTTTCAGCGAGCTTAGAAAGAGCTTGAAAGTAGACTAATGGGGCGGTAATTCTGGGGGAATATTGAACCCACCTTCTTTGGAATCATTATGACATCAGCGGTCTTCCACGCCGTTGGGAAGTGCTGGCTCCTTAGCATGGCATTGATTATTGCCACGAGATAAGTTAAGGACTTCCGCGAAAGTAGCTTCAGCGCCTTATTAGTGATTCCATCCTCTCCAGGTGCTTTACGCACCTTGAGGTCTTTAATATGACCTTGGAGCTCTGCTGGTGTGCAATGCGGAGTCTCAGGAGATTCCGTTGATGTGCCGTGCAGCTCTTCAATTGAGGAATCTTCTGAAGATTCCTCTGAGGAAAAATCACTAAGGGAGGCACTACTGCCACTGACGCCGTTGGCCCTAAAATATCTCCTGACGGATCTTACGATGTGTTGCTCCTCATCCAGGTCATTATCAAGGTCATAGTTGGGAGAGAACTGACTTTCCATTGCATCAGCGAAAACCTCGACCTTTTCCTCTGTCCTACAGACAATGCCCCTAGGACCGTGGATGTGCGGGAGTTGTTCTCGCTTTCCGTTTCTGAGCGACTTTGCAACTTTCCAGAGAGGAATACTTGAGTCAAGCATCCCCGACAGAAAGTCGCTCCATTGCTCATTACGGAATTCATGAAGAGCATTTCTCACTTCATGAACAAGATTCGTTGCTCTGTGAATGTCATCTGGGTGACAAGACCTCTTCGCTTGCTTAATTGTAGCTCTTTTGTCAGAAATTTTCTGACGGATGTCTGCAGGGAGAAGAGGTCTGCCGTGTCGTCGTACTGGTAGTACAGCTGCACGCTGCAGAGCTTGCTGAACGGAACTTGTCCACTCCGCTTGAGCAGCATCTATATCGTTCTCATCATCTATGATCGGGATATTGGGTAACTCTCTAAGGAGCGACTTGTATAGCTCCCAATCAACCCTTTTCCTTGGAAGAGTTTCCCCCTCCAAGGTTTGCTCATGACCCACTTCCAGTACGATAGGAACATGCTCGCTCCAAATGTCATACATGATTCGAGAAGTGACACTGAATCTACAGTTTCTAGATATTGCGAGGTCAACGACATCTGGTGCCTGAAGGTGATTAAATGGGTGGTGAGTCGGTTCCTCAGTGCTGTGTATGAGGTAGCCGTTTCGTATCACATGGTTGTAAAGTCGAATCCCACTGGTAGAATTTAACCTAGAGTGCCATGCTCGATGTTTACAGTTAAAGTCCCCTGCTACAATAAGCGGGCCCGAGCAGTCGAACAGGACTTCCAGATCCGTCTCTTGCAGCCTGGCACCACATCTGACATAAACCGATGTGATTTTCAATGAGATACCTCCCGTCATATTCACTACCACGGAAGTTGCCTCGATGCTCTGCATCTCAGCGTTTGTGCTTCTGTAATAGTCAATACCACGTTTTACTAGCACTTCCAAACTGCCACCCCGTCCAGTTAATCTATCAGCGCGGATAACATCATAATTCGGGAAAGCTAGACGATCTCCCGGATTAAGCAATGTTTCCTGCAGCAGCTACATCTACGTTCTCATCCAAAAGAGCCTGATGAAGTTGCGTTTTTTGGGGACATCCCTAAGACCCAAACAATTCCAGTAAAGAATTTTGATGAATTCAGGCTGTCTGTTATTGTACCTAGGCATTTAGCGGAAAGATCGCCTGCAATGCCTTAGTGGCGCTTATCAGGGGACTAGTCATTTATTAATTTACGGGTTAATGAATTTTTTCAAAGCAATAAAAACATGATGTCCTCTCCATCCTAAAACACAGATAATATGTGTAAGACGTGTCAATCCCTACATCTCACTGATGCATAATGCAATTACTATGGACATAGACAAAAAATTATGAAAAATGTTTCACAAATAATCTCTAGTCTTTTAAGTCAAAAATCACAAATGTTAGTTAGTTAGTAATGTTTATTGTTTATCTTTTTGACTGGCGGGGATATCTATCAGACACTCGCAGGGTTGCCAAGTCTAACGATGATCACGTCCCGTGGTGGAGGGTGCGAAATGAATCTTTTACATTTGCTGGTTTTGAATTTTTTCGTAAAAATTTACTAGGTATCATGATTATAAGCATCTCTGGTAGATTGTTCGATCTGGAATGGGAAAGATCTCCTATTTATGAAAATATTTTAGGTATCATCTAACCGTTGCAATCAGTGCACAAACACTGTGACATATTTATGATGTATAGCATAATCCGCGATCAATACAAATTTAACATACAGGTCGCCTAGCCGTGGGGATGCAGTGGTCGGGATGAATATCACGGCAGCAACTGATGCTTTGGGCATGTCTGGTAACAACGCATGAAGTGAAACTCGCTAACTTCACACAAATTTGAAGATTTTGTACAATTTCTTTGAAAATGATGAGAGATATGCCTGATTTGGCAGGGTAATGTGGCAGCCAAATGGCAGTCACCCTTTCTGACACAGTCCGGATCGAAAGATGACCATACTCGTTAAATGTATTGATACTTCTAAATATAGGATCGTATCGAACAAGATGAATAACCCAAGGTACCGACGGAGCTATATTGCGGCGTCAAGGAAGTAATTTTAAATTTTCATTTGCATTTTTTCAAGTGTTGTGCTATGATTTTGGAAAAAATGTCACGAATAGTCTTATAAAGCATAGTAGAGTATATTTCAACAGTTGGCGGAACTTACTCCACTGGGACCAGGAGGGTGAAACGGGATATTAATGGACAATCTGGCAACCCTGTCGCATCCTCACAAAATGGCCGCTGATAACCACACAAGTCACCGTGTTGTCATTGAATAGCATGGAATTAAACCTTCAGAGTATAATATGTTTTGTGACTGGTACCAAGAGTTGACAGATCCCACACATGTGTCACTCCTTGAAATGCAATAATCAGCTGTATTCAAATAATGTCTGATATAAATATAACCTAGAATGTGTACTCGTGAAAAAAGAAAAATATGGCTAATTTGTAGCTTTTTTTGCAGATTTTAGGTTTGATGGTAGCTTTAAGGCGTATGTTTGGGAATTTATTAATCGCTGTGAATATAGTGTGGATGTTTGTTCAGTTCCTGAATAACGAAAAATATTCAACTTTATGGATGTACGGATATCAAAAAACCTGAATGGTTTTGTGGGAATATCAATCTAAGGTGCAATAATGGTTCTGATGAAGGGCAAGTAAATGAATGAATGTTTGGAAACGAGCAATATCTTTTGGTAGAGCCTGTCGTCAAGTAGGTGCTTAATGGCTATCTGCAAGAGGTTTATAGGAAAAAAACAGCCAGTATCACATATCAATTGAAGAAAATAATATGAACATGAATAAAAAATTAACAATAGAAATGAAAACGTGAATTTAATTCAAAAATCAAACATTTCTTAAAATTTCGACTGAATTATATGTAATTTCTTAATATCCAATACACTGATGATGTTTCAATGACAAGTTGTCATCTCATACTTTGACAGTATTTTGTTTTCAACATTTCATAGCTATCGGTTGCTGAAATTTGTTGATTGGAACTGTTGTTGGTGAAATTGGCCCTTAGTATACTTTGTCTTTTAGACAGGTACCACAAAACGAAGATTATACTAATTAAAAAGCAATTTTATATTAACATTTTCAATAAGTTTTAAGTAAAAAAAGGTAATAGTTTTGTTTCAGTAAATTAAGCCATTTATAAGATATTGTCCATTATAAATGTGAATAATATAATAGAACGAATAATGGTGAATTAATAATTTGAAATTTCCATATTGAGCAACGACTCTTTCTGCGAAAATACAATACAAATCAGCAATAAAAATTGAGTAATTCTTCATCTCATCACACGGTTATGGCACCGGTTATGTTAGTAGGGACCTCTAGACTAATAAATGCTCTCAATCTTTTGCATGTACTGAGTTTAATAAAACGAATTGAAGTTTGAAAGCAATAATTAACCATCTGATAGCTAGCAAGCTTAATTAGTCCAGTTAAGCTCCGATTTCTAAAAAAGTTTACTTGAATCTATGAAAGCAGTTCAAATAAACCAAAACGCAATCGCTTATTTAGATTTATGAAACCGTTTGCTCATCTGGATTGCACCAATTTATTTAAAATTAATCAACCATCACTATAACCTGCTCCAAGTAAAACAATTTAATTGAATGTATATATTAAATTTCTTTAATTAGTTTACGTAAAAGTATTGTCTTAGTTTTAATGAATTATGTCAATTATAGGCAATGCATGACACCGCTTTTGTTAGGAACCTCTAAAGGTTGAGAATATTCTTAATCTTTTGCATGATAATTTTTAAACGCGTGAGAGATGCTAAGTGAATTTTCATGAGATTTCTTTGTTTGTTGCAGCGTTCAACCACTTCGCCCTTCCCTAACGACTGACGAACAAGCAACTGTCATAGCTGCGACTCCTCACAGATACAGGCAAAACCTAGATGAAGATGATGGAGGAAGTAACTCAACGTCGAACGCCTAAAGTCACAATTTGCCACGGAGTGATTTCGTCACTCACACATCCAGATGAACAAAGTGTAGAATATTAAGAATGTAAAAATGCACGATCTCATCTTATGCATGTATGTTGTACATATTGTGAGGTATGTTTATTTGAACCGGAAGCAAAAGTGGTAATATGGATGTCATGTAAAAATGAATGTGAATCTTAGTATTTGCATGCTACATAGATGTATATAATAATGCCTTTATTAGCTGAAGTGAGGCCAAGTTTAGTCAGACCCCACAACAGGAAAAAAAGAATACTTGAACACATAAACAAAATAATAACATACCAAAAAAATACAGTGCATAAGAATGACAACATTGACTGCACGAGACAAATGCAGATAGTATTGCGAGAGTTTTAAATTTGAAACAAACATAGCAGAAAATAGTCAAAAAAAAACACATGAACACAAGAAAAACTCCAGCATCTGACTTTTCATTAAGTTCTTAAAAGAAGCAACCTGTTTGGATCGATAGCCACTGTTGACTGCATTGTAATGCTTGACAGCATTATAGGTGCAACCTCTTTCAAAGACCGAGGTATTGTGAGGAGGCATGTTAAAATCAGCATTAAATCTAAGAGCTCTGGTAACAAAACTACCACGGTGAACTAATTTGCTAGCGAGGTAAGCTGGTCTGTTAGATAATAGAACTTCATGCGTGAAGACGGTCAAAAGATATAAAAATAACTTATCAATTCGCAACCAGTTGAGTTCTTTGATTTTATCTGAGACGCAACTAAACTTGCGCAATCCAAAAATAAACCTACAACAGCTGTTCTGAATTTTCTGGAGTTTCCTTTTGTGGACGTAGTCTAAACATGGGTAATAAAGAACAAGAGAGTAAGAAATGACAGACAACACAAGACTTTCGGCGAGCTTTTTTCGAGTTTTAAAATTCAGGATGAATCGATTAGAATGGAGGAGTTTCAAACGCATATACGTATACAATACTGTAGATAAGAAAGAGAATCTCATATTTAAGTCAAGGGTAACACAGAGATTCTTGGCGTAATCCACAAAAGGGATGAGTGTCTCATCCAAAACAACACAAATCATCTGCTTCATTTCACGGTAGAAGTTCTTCGAACAGTACAACATTGCAGTAGTTTTATTAGGATTGATCTTCAAGCAGTGTTTGTTACAGTAATCACTGATGTTGGCCAAGTCTAAATTAACTTTAAAATCAACCTTTAATGGATCGAAACCAAACACTAACTGAGTATCATCTGCATAAGTTTGCATACTACAATGGACTAAACAGTCTTGCAGATCGATCGTATAAATCAGATATAGTAAGGGACCTAATACTGTCCCTGTGGGACTCCTGAAGGAACTGGCTCAGTGGAGGAAATTCCTTGATCAGCTTTCACTGTTTGTTGACGATTTAGCAAGTATGATTCAAAGAACCATAGAACTATATCTGACATTCCATAATGAGATAACTTGCTCAGTAGTATCTGGTGATTGACCATGTCAAAGGCTTTCGAGAAATCTAACAGTACCAAGACGGTGTTTATGTGATTATATAAATTGATATGACATATACATAGTAACATAGAGTGGGCACTCAAGTAGCTTTATGAGTCAGAGGTTTCAAAACATGCAATTGCAAAACAATGCAGAGTCTGTAAGATACAGGGTGATAAATTTAAAAAAAAATCAATATTTTAAGACATATTTACTCGATTCTGTTGAAACTTCGAAATATTATTTGTTGAATTCGGAGGCCAATTTAGCCCCAAATGGATTAAAATTATTAGCTCCAGTGGGGTCCCTGGGGGCACCTTAGCGAATATTATTGGCGAAAAAATGTACTGCCTTTTTTGTAACTTTAATATCTGTTGTTTGATTAAGCATCTAAAAATACAACTTCTTTGCCTATTAAGAAAAAAATAAAAACCGTTTTATTGCATGTCACCGGACAAAATTGGTTTATGAACTTTTGCTAAAAAAATCACAAGTGCACTGGAAAATATAAAATCTAAAAAATCTCTAGGAAGCCTTATTGCATCTTTTCCGATATGTAGCATGACATAAAGTTCAATTTAGGTATCGTTTAGAATTTCGTCTATGTCAAAAGTTTCGGAAGTGGAAAAATTTCCTAGTGTAGAAAAATTGTCTGTTTGTGCTTCAAGGGGGTGAATTTCAATTCGGGGTAGGGCATCGGCATTAGTATTAATACTGCCTTTGTTATAAATAATGTTATATTCATACTGTTCTAGTTTCAAGCACCATCTGACGACCATGGAACCAGGTTCTTTGATGGAAAACAGCTATTGTAGTGATTTCTGGTCAGTAGTTATGTTAAATGAATGCCAAAAACATATGTACGGAAATACTGTACTGCCCAAACTATAGTATAAGCAATGGGGAGGTCTTTGCCTATTCGAACATGCGAAAGAACAACGCCAATAGCAACGTTCGATGCATCTGTTGATATACTAAACGGCTTCGTGAAACCGGGATATACTGCAAAATAGGGTCGTGCATCGAAATGTCTTCACAAGTCTCGAAACATTTGATGAATTCGGGGGTGCGTTGAATTTTCACGATATTCTTTAAGCATTGTGTAAGGGGTTGTTAATAAATTTTCTGTAGTAGCCGATGGGTCCTAAACAAGATTTAATCTCTTTGGCAGTTCTGAGAATAGGCAATGTCTCTAGTGCTTCAATCTTTTTCGGGTTGGACTTTATGCCTTCAGGAGTCACAAGGTCTCAGGAATTCAACAGATTTGCCCAAAAATTCGCATTTGTCTAATTGAATTTTTAACCTTGCTTCCTTAAGCTTCTGAAACACTTTTCTAATATTAGATATATGTTCCTGGAGGCTGCTGGAGAAGATAATTATGTCGTCCATATAAACGAGACATACTTTTCATCGAAGGCATTCCAGTACATCGTCCATTACTCTTTGGAATGTACTGGGGGCATTTTTTAAGCCAAAAGGTAATCTAACTAACTCGTAATGTCCATTTTCGACAATAAAAGCTATTTTAGGGATTTTGCTTTCGAAAAGTTCGTAATCCGTGTATAGTCATTTATCTTCTGCCATAATCCATGGAAGTTTAGTACTTGCTTAAATTTTGTAACATAGAAATCTTTACTGTCAAAATTTATATTGAAGTCTCCTAAATGTACATTTGTGCAATTCCTGTAACAATGTTTTTCGCATATACTTTCAAAAAATTCAATAAATCGATTGACGCTTCCACTTGGAGTTCGGTAATAAGTATACAGATTGTAATTTTTTTGTATCCTTATTTCGAGATTGATGAACCACCACTGATATTCAACGACTTCAATGTTCTGTACTTAAACTTCAATGCTATATAGTGTATATATCAATATACCACCTGTATGCTTCGGAACAGAGTTTACTCTTACAACTTGATAGCCGTGAATATCGATCTCTTCCTCCTCAATATCTTCTGTTACATGTGATTCTGTTAAACAAAGTATTAATGGTTTCTCTATCAGCAAGACATTTGAAACCTCATCTTTGTGACAAAAATCTTTGAATGTTTAAGTGGTATATATAGCTTACAGCTTGTTTTGTTTGTAATTGATGATCTGTCTCCATAGCCAGCTTTGTTTTTCGATTTTTGCCACTACATTTATCATCAAATCACTGCTTATAATATTGTTTCTTCCTTTCAGTCTCACTCACTTTATAACTGTGTCCTACATGTTTCTCTACGTCTAACTTCAATTTTGTGATGTCGTCAACATAATTACATCCAATTTCACCGCCCCATCTCTCTCATCGTTAATTTTTTTATGGCGACATTCATTTTTGCAGGATTTATATATTTGCTGAGTACCTTCTTCGTGTGTAAACAGTTTTGACTTTTATAGTTTGGTTTTATTATAACTGTCTTTTCTGGTTGTACTGTAGAAGTAACCAAATTTCTATTAATGTTTGTATGTTTGACTATTACTCGGTGTTCTGCATGTGTTTCTGTTTTATTCGTGTTCGTTACAGTGAGAAATTCAGTAACGTCAGTGTCTTTATCTAGATTTACTTCTTTTTCGTTGCTGTATTTCACAGCATTTGCAAATGATTTAGTTCCATTTTTTTCTATTTGTAATTCGTCTAATTTCACTTGCAGATATGCATTCTTCTTTTGAAGCTCTTTTATCAAAAAATCTTGTATGTGAATTGTATATAATTGTATTCATTTTTATCACATCTTCCACTAGAAATCCCTTTTCATCTTCTTCTTCGGTATTTTTTGTGTTTCTATTTTCGTTTATGATTTCGTTTGGCATAGGTTTTTTAATGTAGAGAACTGGATCAGTAGTGACAACAAATTGTCAGTTGTCACTGATCTACTTAGAACCGTTGATCTTCGAGAAAGGACCCTAGCTCAGCAGAACCTTCCCCAATAGTCTCCGACTCTTCTCATAAAGATAACAATACAAAAAAATTCGGCCTCAAAACCACCTAATTCTGTTCATATACCAGGAGCAATTTCAATTCAATGACCTATACCGAGCGTTAAGTTTAAAATCGGATTGAGTCGGGATGTTCAATTTGATGGAAACCGGAGGCGAGATCAAGGGTTTGTGAAATAGTTACAACGTCCAAGTTTGTCGAGAATGTCAGTGATGTTGCAAAGGGGATAGCGGTCATCTTTGATTTTTTTCATTAGGTTTTCTGCAGTCGACAACAATTCACCATTTTTGCTTGCCTCTAGCATCGATTTTCTTTGTGACAATCATTTTTTCCATCTGCCTAGACACTTCCTGTTTGTGGACATAGGGATATCTATATGACTCGGTATGAATGGCGATGTCGTCGGAGGCTTCAATCTGATGCTTAACTTTTGTGAGTGAAGGTGAGGGGATAGTTTTCAAAATGGAAAATGCTGAAAAATTCTGAGTAGGCAAGTAGGCAACTGATTTTTGAGATGTAGTGTCAGTCCTAGTTTTTTCAAATCTTGAATTCCAATAATTCCATCTAAATATTCATCAAATATGAAAAGAATAAATTCGAATTCATCAGGAGTACCTAGTTCTTCGAGTAGGGAAATTGAAGCTTTGAATTGACTGGTTTTTGTGCCAGCGCAAGGGGAAATGGGCGTATTGGAATGGAAAATTTTGTATGGGAAAAACTTTTCTGCAATATAAGGTCTAAGAAGTGAACCGTGACAACCTGTGTCCGTAAGTAACTTTACTGGGATTTCTTTGAGTTGAATATAAGGAAGGGAGTTGGCTAAATTAATGTTATTTAGGCCTATCTGAAACCTGGGGGAGGTTCGGCTTCTCGAAAATTTTGATTTTCAGAGTTATCTGAGTAGTAATTATAGGTTTCTGGATAATATTCTCGATTGCTGTGAGATGGAGATTTATCTTGATCGGGATATTGAGAATAATATTGTGGAGTATAATGTGATGAATGAGCTTCGGGTTGTTCTGTGTGATAAACCTCTTGTGAAACAAAACTACGGGGTCTGGTTGATCTAAAATAATAATTCTTATCCTGTCTATTTGATTGCCTTGAAGATATGTCCATGGGTACTGGAGTGTGTACTAGTTTATGAGAATTCTTAGGATGAAAAACGTTTGTTGAACGTTGGGATTGAGGTGGTCCGAATACCTGTCTGTTTGTCGGGAAGTGTTGTTTAACTGGAATGGGTTTTGGTAATGGAATAGGTTGAGAAGGAAATTGCTGTCCATTTTCATTGGAACAAGGTTGATGTGGTTGAGGTAAATGACTTTGTGGCGAAAATTGGGTGTGGAGTTCTTGGGCAAGAATTTGATGATTTGGTGTTTGTCGATAGCTATGCTGTGGATTAAGATATGTGAAATTAGGTTGAGTATATGAAGGGGTTTGTCTTTGAGACGGATAATGATTTTGATGTGACGGGTTATCATAATTATTTCATCTAGGCTTGTGTGAAAATGATCGGAGGTGACTAGGATGTCCAAAGTTCTGTCTTTTCGCAAACGCGTCGATTCTAATCTTATTGTAAAAATGTTTCCTAACTACTTTGATCGCGTTTGATAAGTCGGAGGGCTATTGAATATCTAACAAAAGTCTAAGTCTATCGTCACAGTTCGTGGTCAAGACGTCGAGTGCATTCAATTCGTTTTGGCTAATGAGTCCTTTTGGTCGGGAGTAAGGGAAGGATCGGTTTGGATTTTCACTTCAACTCTGGACTTTATTAATTTCAACCTTTCTAGAAATTCTAAGATAGTTTCATTTCTAAATTTTGCGAATTGCAAAAATTCTCTAGTGAGAGTTTGTCTGTCGATTTTGTCACCGAAATGCTCTCTGAGCGCATTCTTAATTTGGAGCCAAGAAGCGATGTCCGGTCTACCCATCAAAAAGTTGTAAACGTTACGTTTCAGTTTGGAACAGATTACAATGAAAACGAAATCGTTCAAGGTAACATCGTTTGATCTATCGTATGTGTTATAGAACTTTTTACATCTAAAAATGAATGGTTCTAGTTGTTTAGTATCACCATCAAAATATGGCAGAAAATCTTCAATTGCTTTTGCGGCGTGCATGCTTGGAACGGGGTTATAGTGCTATTAAGAGATATGTTTTCTAATAAATTTCTGATAGTACCTATAAAGCTGAGTCAGAATCTTGCATAAAAGTATATAATGTGGGTGTACGAGAAAATTAAAGTTGTGGGTCTATTGAAGTTCGTAAAAAATGTGAAAATGTCAAAAATATAAAACTACCTAATACACAAAAATGTAATGCAATTGGATATATGTGTATTTATGAGTTAAATTCATCTAATCCTTATAATTATACTAAAGTTACCTAAAATAATTTTTAATTCAGATCGGCACTGTAGCTTTCGAGAAGTGTACCTGAATTATGTTTCCTTGAAAAATGTAGCTCATGATCAAGAAGCTAAAGAAGCTATACTAAATATTATGGGCAATCTTCAGCAAAATTAAATTTTACAAAAATGCACCAAAAAATCTTGACAAAAAAAAAGGGTAGGAGAAAAGACAAAGGAACATTCGACTTGAACCTTCAGACTTTCAGACACTGCACTCTGACATCAATTTTCATTTTTGGGATGGTCCTGGGTTTCCTGGTCTTCTTCTGAGTTCTGATTCATTCGTCTGATCCTACTGACTGACTGCGCCAATTTAGGTATCGCGTCGCGAGTTCGCGTTTTTAAAAAACGTTTTACAGGTGATTTGATACACTTGATTATCTCAAAGTACAAGTATCGTTTCAGGAAACAACGTTTTCATTACCAAACCTAAGACTATGTGAGCTTTGAAGCGATTGACTAATAGATGTAATCTAAAGTAATAGCTGATGTAAACTAAAGGGCACAAAACGAGAATTTATAATATGGGGTTGTTTATAAAGATAAAATTCAAGTACACAAATTCGGGAGATATACGAGGGGCTTTCGCTATATAACTTGAGTTTCAACAGAATCGAGTGAATACTTTTTAAGAAATTAATAATTTTTTTTAATTCATCACCCTGTGTCTTGAAAACTCTGCATTTCCAGGACCGTGTTTATAGAAACTTTTTTTTAACAATCACCCTCTAAAAATATCTCCGTCTATATTTCTGAGTAAACATAAATTCTTAGTTCCCGCGTAAATCAACCATTTTTGGAGAGAGATATAAACAAAAAATTTGAGTATTTTAGAGATAACTGCAAACGATTGGCTTTCTTTTCAAGGAATCTGTTCAGTAAAAAATATAGCATCCTTTATGAAAAAAGCTTATTTGATCATTGATATATAAACATATGATGATATAATGTTAGTGCAGTAGAAGGGTTTTCGGTAGATAAAGGTTCTGTCAACTGTTCTACACAAAATGAAACAGCATATTTTTTCAGTTCTAAAATAGTCCTCGGTATTAACGGCTTCTCTATTAGGTATATTATTAAACTTCTTACACATATCTGAAAAAGAACAGATACTTTATAATATTTTTATTGTTATATTAAGAATCTAAAAAGCATAGCGCTTACTTTTATATGAGCAAATTCGTTGTCTCATCCCAAAAATAAATTATCTATGGTAGAACTACGAATGTATGTTTATGGAAATAAATGAAAGTACTATAAGAGCTTTTAAAAATTTTGGTTATCTCCGGCTGAGAAAATTATAATAATTTGATAATTGCAAAATATTTACGATATCAAGGGTGTCATATTTAAGAGTTATATACAATCTCTTCTACTGAGATACTAGAAAACCGTTTGAGAATCCACTTGTTCATTTTTATGTGATATCCAAAATACGAGTGATTGATTTATTGGGTTATGAGTATGCCTCTTTTTTATACGTGTGATACCTAGTCAGGTAATTTTATTTTGTACATTGTTAGGTTTAATAATATTGTGGATGTATAATTTGTATAATTTCTGAATAAACATTTTTATTATACTTTAGAAGTACGTGATTATTATCATCATCCGTATCGTGAGGATTCGATACACCTGAATTAAAACCCGATAATCCAAATCCAAATCACGTATAAACAAAAGTATCTTAAGACTAAGGGCCGTATCGTCATTCGTTACTACAATAATTGTAGGACGCCTTTATGGCCTCCTTGATTTCCATAGTTTTCTACTGTTCAGTGTCAGCTCTCTATTTTGATGTCACAAATATTTATCTGCATCAAAATGTTTATGCTTTTGAATCATCACAAATATCATTTGTTATATCAGCTTGAAATTTCCTACAATTGAAAAAGAAAATATTACTTCACAATAGGAAAGCGCTGACGTTTACACGGGACAACATAAATCTAGAAATACCTCCTAAGGGCCGTATCGTCCGTGGTTACTACAATTGTAGGACGCCTTTATGGCCTCCTTGATTTCCATAGGCTGAGGTATTTCTAGATGTCCACCGTTCCGTGTCAGGATCAGCTCTCTGCTATGGCCTCCTTGATTTCCATAGTCTGTTCTCTCCTTCAGAAAGGCTGGAGTATTTCTAGATGTCCACCATTCCGTGTCAGGATCAGCTCTCTGCTATTGTGACGATACGTTTTCTTTTTGAATTGTAGAAAATTTCAGGCTGATATAACAAGTGATACAATACAATTATTGTAGGACGTCTTTATGGTCCCCTTGATTTTTGCCCCTTCAGAAAGGCTGGGTACTTGAAGGCTTCTACTGCTTGGTGTCAGCGTCAGCGCTTTCCTATTGTGAGGTTATGTTTCCTTTCTGAATTGTAGGAACCAGGCGATAAAAATCAAAAGCCTGAACAATTTCATGCAAATAAATATTTGTAAAATAACCTCAAACTAGAGCGCTGACACGGAACAGTAGACAAGTATGAAAAACAATAACTGTAGGACGCCTTTATGACCTCCTTTGTGGTTATGTTACTAAGTAGGGTAACTATGCCTAAATCGTACCCACTAAGACATTTTTATTTTATAGGGATTGTTAATACTTAAACAACAACAAGCATATAAACGTAAACTTGATTTAATTCTTAAGCTTATTGTTACAACTTAATACACATATGAACTTGTAAAAAACTGAAAATTTTCGGTTTCAAAAAATCGTCTAAAAAGTACGAAATAGGAGCATTGATCTTAATTCGTACCTTGGTGTGCTTAAATCGTACTTATATTATTCATGTACTACAATTGTCCCATTGATATTTAATGACTCCTTATCAACTCCAGCATATAGTTCATGTACCCACAACTTGCAAACTGTGCACTGAATCATACTAAATTTTCCATTTTCGTTACAAATTATGCAGTGCCATTCTTCATTTTCACAGCTTTCTGATGTCACCTCTTTTTTCTTGTTGATTGTTTTTGATTCATTTAATTTATTCTTGTTGGCGTATCCTACTTTTCCCTTGGTTTCATTATTTAGGTTTAATTTTACTTTCTTCTTCTCATTTTCATCAATTTTCATTTCTAAGTCATTTTTGTATGGACTTTCGGTTAAAAGTTGAGCTGCTGTAGTACCTTTTGACCGCCTATTTTGTACGATTTTAATTTTCGGAATTGGAGAAAGGTTCTGGAGATGAGACCTTATAAGTTGGGGTTGAATCTTTTGGCTCACCTATTTTACGAGCAGAGGTAACGATCTCTTTTAAGGACATTTTTTTATCTACGAAAACACTCACTGATGAATCTTCAACGTCTGTGAAATTTAAAAATTTGGATTCTGTTCCACCTCTGCATGTAGATGGCTGTGGATCATCAAACCGGTATATTTGTCCTATGTTAGCTTCCATTATCCTATTTTATGAGGATCTTTCATGTTTGTTAATGGTTTTGTGTGTTATAGTGCCGGTTTCATCATTACTTCCATCCAAGGTGCTTCTATCGTCCTCTTCGAAACTTACATCCATTGCAACATAATCTTCTTCTCTGATCTTATGACGATCAGATGGCCACAAACCACAAGCTTCAAATCCGTGCAGTACTGGAGCCATAGAAGCTGCTCTGGGATATGCTACGCCTATACTATAACTATCTAAAACTGAACATCACTTAACTACCAGTAGTGGGCTGTTCATAGGCGGGGTATGCATGTTTAACATGGGTGAACTAGATTTGTCACATGGTTAATAATGAGTGGTTTGAAACATATTGTAAGTCAAAAATTTGGGAATCACCTTTATTCATCGTCGCTTCCACTTACATCTATCAGTAATAAACTGTCGCTATCGCTTTCCTTGTTGAAATTGACTATAACTGGCTCTATGATGGTGTCGATGTGGTGGTCAAGCTGCCACATTTTTGTTTCTTCCTTCACAACATGACGGATAGCATTCTGCCAAGCTTCGGGCGTTACTAGCTGTATGGAAGTCTCAAGTAAAACCTTAACGTCTGGTAATTTGAAGGTTGTGTTATGGCGCGCAATATAACCCTTCACTTGAGCCCAGATGAGCTCTATTGGGTTCAGTTCACAGTGGTAGGGCGGTAACCGCAGCACAGTGACACCACATTGACGGGCCATCTCATCAGTCAAGTAACTAATGTTCGCAGGTTTGTGCTGTTTAATTTTTTCATACAATTCCGCTTTCTTACATGAATCGTCAAACGGAATTCCTTTTTCGCGCAACCATTGCTGCATGTCACTTTTTCGAGATCCCATAGTCGGTACACGTTCGGCTCGACGACTATGGTAGGAAGCATTACCCATGACGATCACAGAGTTGGCCTCAACTCGCTGAAGCACCCCTTGAAACTAGCTCTCGAAGCAGCTGGCATTCATTTCGTCATGGTAATCACCTCCTTTCTTAGAGACGAAAATCAAGTCACACTCTTCTAAAAAGCCACTATCGCTACCAATATGAGTTACGATCAATCTTTGACCTTTCCCTGACGGTCCACGAAGACCTGTTGACAAACCTTCAATGCCTGCTTGTCGGTTACTCACTACGTTTTTGTCTATCCAGGTTTTTTTAACTGTGAGACCTGCATTTACCCATGTCTCGTCCAAATAATAGATTTTTCTGCTTTGTCGCCTATATTCAATCATTTCGCGTAGGTATTTTCGACGCCAGGCGACTATTTCAGGTCTCTCTATCAATACTGACTTCCGATTACGCGTTTCGTAACGAGAATTAATTTCGTGCAGGGATTTCCTCATTACCTCGACGCTCATTTGGGGTATAATTTCATTTTCCTTGATCGCTGCATGTACAGCCTTGAGGGTTGGTATCTCATTCCTAAAGAAGAATGAATGTACGGTTCGCCTTAACGCCATTTTGCTATCGTCATCCAATTTAACGGCCTTTCGTCCCTTCAAATTAAACTTTGGATCAGTAGTAGCTCCTGTTTTCTTGTTTTCATGCACCACCCTGCGAATGGTCTACTCTGGAACGCCTGTCATACTTTCACAACGCGCGAGTGCATCTCCCTGCGACATAGTTCTGTTCAGATAATTGAACACGTTGAGCACGATTTCTTTCGCGTCCCTCTTCAGTGCTTTACGAAGCCGTCTACTTGTTCCCTGGCTTTCAGTACTTCCACTCGTGCCATTTGTACTCTCCATGGTTGAGTATAACCAAAACAGTAACCACAGAAACCACAACAATAACAATCACACAACAATTCTTATAAAAACACACAATATGCGATCGCTCAACGAAACACGTTCCAATCCGTAGCCGACGCCTATGAGTCTGCCGGTCGAGGCGCGTCTTTGATTTCATTGGTTCTCCCGGCGGAGAACAATCAGCCATTATTTCCATCTCTGTCTGTGCTGTTGACCACCGCAGAGCCACAGAAACGACATATGTCGTACGCTATACGGCTGTACTGGAAGGAAGCCGGGATCGAGCTCTGATCACGTGTTGATCACGCGTATGAGTCATTACAGTTTTAAATAGTTGTAGTATAACAGTTCAGCAATATCGGTCTGTTTTATAACGTTGCCCGGATGTGTGCGCATCCATGCATCTGACATTTCATTAAAATGGTGCTTTAAAGGGCCTCCCCTTTTAAGTACATCAGACATACGTTTTCTCTTATAAATTAACATTGGAGGTGTAAATTCACCGGCGGCGTTCACACAACAAACACAAGTAGTATTTGAATCTCTTTCTTCCCTGGTTACAGCGCCTACTTGTTGCTTTCCTTTTTGGCTAAATTTATTTAATTTTTTTTAAAACTTTCCAACAATTGGACAACAACTTGGATTTGTCTATGTGAAACGACATCTTATTTAAACATTAAACTTTGGCTAATGGAATCAATGGTAACACAACGCAACTTGCTTTACTATGCTTACACAACTGTCGTATTCGGCGATATACCCAACGCATACCAACTATCCTTCCATGTTCTTCAAATCACTGATTAACGGTGGCTCGAGTACTACTGAATCTGTCTCTCGTTCACACTACAGTATACTGCCTAAGGATCTGCTGGTCCTCCTAAGAACTTCTCTTATCGATAGATCGGCTTCACGCAACCCGACAATTTGACCCCCTGAAAGTCTATGAACCGAGATGTGATTCTAAACAGGCTTAGCTCCATCCTGAGTGTGATTTTTGCCAATATTTATGAAATGCAGTCCTCCACGCTTTGGTCAACATACTGAATAATTGACATTGCTTAATTGACAAAAGTACATTATTTCCAACAAATCGCAATAATTCCATATAGGCTGGAATAAAGCACCGAACTGATAGAAAAGCCCCCAGGGAGTATAAATAAATCCAAGTTCCTCCAGCACATAAATATTTCCAGTCTCCACGCTATGTCGTATAGTAGACGACGTGTTTTGGCGTAAGCATGCAAAATATTAAGAGAGTGTGTTATCTGGGGTTCGTTAGTGTCCCGCATAAATCCACTCCATAAATAATGGGCGGTCGTGCAAAGCCACAGCGCGGACTGCCTGCCTTCGCGTTTCCTG